AGTCATTAAAAAGATAGGAAAGAAAGAAAAGACTAAAACTCATGTCAGAAGGGACCCTGAAATTTGTTCTTGAGCGTAGAGAAACTAAGATAAATGGGAAGAAGAGAACATTTCAAAGAGCAGTGCAAGAAAACAAGTATTATAATGAAATGTGCAAAGACCGAGAGTTAGCAAACCAAAAGGGAAGAACACATTCAACATTTCTCAAGCTGAAAGAACTGAAGAAAAAAACCAAGACTCCATTTGAAATATTGAAGGACTTCACGGAGAAAATATTGAAGATGCACAAAGCATCATAAGACAATGGAAATAATACCAGAGCTACTCTACCAAAAAGAATCGGTCCATGTGCAACCATTTCAAAACGTAGCATATGCTCAATATCCAGAGCTATTGAGGAAGAAGTTAAAGCTTCACTGAAGGCACTGGTGAAATACAAGACTCTAGGAAATGGCAGAATACAAATTGAAATCTTTCAACAAACTGGAGATGCTCACTCATCTATACCAAGAAATGGGGAAGACAGCTACCTGGCAAACGGATTGGAAAATATGCATATTTGTACCCATTCCAAAAAAAGGTGACCCAACAAAATGCATAAAACATTGAAAAACATCATCAATATAACATTCAACTAAATTTTTGTTGAAGATAATTTAAACACGATTGCCGCAGTACATCAACAGGAAGTTGACAAAAATTCAAGCTAGATACAGGAGAGGAAATGGAACTAAGTATATCACTGTTGACATCAGATGGATCTTGGTTAAAAGTAGGGAATACCAGAAAGATGTTTGCTGTTATTGTTGTAAGTGCCATGAAGTCAGTTCTAACTCATAGCAACCCTATGTAGGGTTGCTGAGGAGAACCTGGTGGGTTTGAACTGCTGACCTTGTGGTTAGAAGTCCAGTGTTTATGTTTGTGGTTGTTGTTGAGTGCTGTCAAGTCATATCCCAAATCATAGTGACCCTGTATAGGGTTTCCAAGGAGCAGACGCTAATGATGAAATCGAAGAAGTCTATCAACTTCATCTGTCTAAAATTGATCAAGCATTCAATTAAGGTATTTTGATTGGAATGCAAAGGTTAGAAATAAAGCGGAAGGATCAGTGGTTGGAAAATTTGGCCTTGATGATAGAAATGTGGCTGAAGATCACATGATAGAATTTTGCAAAACTAATGACTTCTTCATTACAAATACCTTTTTTAAACAATATAAAAGATGTCTATACACATGGACCTCACCAGATGGAATACACAGAAATCAAATTGACTACATTTCTGGAAAGGAACAATGGAAAAGCTCCATATCATCAGCCAAAATAAAGCCAGGGGCAGATTGTAGAACAGACCATCAATTGTTCATAGGCAAATTCAGGCTGAAATTGAAGAAAATGAAAACAAGTCCACGAGAGTCCAAATATGACCTTGTATATATCCCACCTGAATTTAGAGATCATCTGAAGAACAGATTTGATTCATTAAACATTAAATATCAAAGACCAGAAGAGTTTTGGTATGACATCATGACCGTCATACAGAAAGAAAGCAAAAAGTCATTAACAAATAAAGAAAGAAGGAAAACACCAATATGGATGTCAGAAGAGACTGTGAAACTTGCTTTCCAGTGTTCTTGTTGTCAGGTGCCATCAAGTTGGCACCTACTCATAGCGACCCCATGCACAGCAGAACGAAACAATGTCTGATCCTGGGCTAACCTCGCTACCACTGCCACACTTGACACCATCAATGATGCCACCTGGCTGATCCATCTCGTTAGAGGTCTTCCTCTTTTTCTCTGACCCTCCGTCTTACCCAGCATGATATTCTTCTCCAGTGACTGTTCTCTCCTGGCAATATGTCCAGAGAGTGAGAGACGAAGTTTAGCCATCTTGGCCTCCAAGGAGCACTCTGGCTGCACTTCTTCCAAAACAGATCTATTGGTTCTTTTGGCAGTCCATGGCACTTTTAGTATTCTCCTCCAACACCACAATTCAAAGTCATCAATTCTTCTACGATCTTTCTTATTCACTGTCCAACTTTCACATCCATATGAGGTTATTGAAAATACCATGGCTTGGGTCAGGCGCACCTTAGTCCTCAAGCTGACATCTTTGCTCTTCAACACCTTAAAATTCCTGTGCAGCAGATTTGCCTAATGCAATACGTCGTCTGATCTCTTGACTGCTGCTTCCGTGAATGTTGATAGTTGATCCAAGAAGAATGAAGTCCTTGACAACTTCAATCTTTTCAATTTTGATAAGTATGTTGTTTATTGGTCCAGTGGTGAGGATTTTTGTTTTCCTGACATTGAGATGCAATCCATACCAAAGGCTGTGTTCTTTGATCTTCATCGGTAAATGTTTCAAGTCCTCTTCACTTTCAGCAAGCGAGGTTGTATCATCTGCATATCGCAGGTTGGTAATGAGTCTTCCTCCAATCCTGATGCCACGTTTTTCTTCATAGAACCCAGCTTCTTGTATTATTTACTCAGCATACATATTGAACAAGAATGGTGAAAGAACACGACCTTGTCACACACCTTTTCCAATTTTAAAACATTCAGTGTTCCCATGCTCTGTTCGAACAACTGCTTCTTGGTCCAGGTACAGATTTCTCAGAAGTACAATGAAGTGTTCTGGAATACTCATACTTCTCAATGTTGTCCAAAGCTTGTCATGATCCACAATCGAAAGCCTTTGAGTAGTCAATAAAGCATAGGTAAACATCTTTCTGATATTTTCTGCTTTCAGCCAAGATCCATCGGACATCAGCATGATGTTTCTTGTTCCACGGCCTCTTCTGAATCCAGCTTGAAACTCTGGAAGTTCTCTGTCAATGTATGATTGCAGCCATTTCTGTATTTTAGCTTTCCAGTGTAGACATGCTAAAAAAAAAATTTGGAAGAAATGAGAAGATAAAAGAGCTAAGTAAAAAATGACAAAGAGCAGCTCAAGAAGACAAATATTATAACAAAATGTGTAAAGATCTGAAGTTAGAAAATCAAAAGGGAAGAACACACTCAGCATTTCACAAACTGAGAGAATTGAAGAAAAAAATCAAGCCTCAACTTGCAATATTGAATGACTCTATGGGCAAAATACTGCATGATGCAGATAGCAATAAAAGAAGACAGAAAGAATACAGTGTCACTGTTTGAAAAAGAAATGGTCGG